TTATATTCCACATTTTACAGCAGATTAGAGTTTAAATCAAGCATTGTAATTCAAGCATGGAGGGTCACTTGAACTGACGCTGACAGTCCCTTTAATCAAACAGTTGTTTCATGTTCAATTTGCAATCGAAACTAGCTTCAAACAGTCGTCTTCCTATTCCATTGTTTTATTGTTCCCAGTTAGAGTGAGGAATATAAAATAGTTTAATTATGGATTACATTTTTATTATTGTTTCTGTAAATAGATTCATTTTTGCTACGACACGACAGTGCTATGACCAATCGACCAGACACAAACCGTTTTTGTCATTTGGGGCCATTTTACTGGATTTTTATCAATTTTTTTCAGAAACAAAGATAGGAATAAAAGATTTAATTGTTGATTAAAAATCTAATTATTTACATTCCTTTAAAGCAAATTTCAAATTATTTTGAAAAAAAAGAACAAAAGTGACCAAAATATTTTTTAGGAACTCAGACATTCAGTTCACAGCAGACTCTGCCTTTACTCTTCTAGAGTTCTCTAGTCTCACTCTTATATCCTTCCCTGCTAAACAGTCATACTCTCAGAGTATGCTACTTTCTCATAGGTATCATTCATACTCTCAGAGTATGCTACTTTCTCATAGGTATTATTCATACTCTCAGAGTATGATACTTTCCTAAAAGTAGAATTAACATTCTCAGAATTTTTACAATCCAACTCTCAAAGCATAATTTAATATAGAATTAAAGAGATAGATTTGATATGTATGATGTACATGGTTTATAATTCAATGAAGGCATATTGGGGTTTACATAACCCTTGGCTGGAAGAATTTATGGGTTGGTTATTCTTTAGATTATTTGTGTTTACTGCACTACATGTTTAGAATCAGATTTAAGGATTCAAATAAAATAAAACAAACAGGTCTTAGAGAGATACAAGGGAGGGGGGAAATCATTGCTTGGGAGTAATAGAAGGTTTAGTAAATGTAAAGATGAGAAAGAAAAGTAAAGAGAAAGAGTAGAAGGTTTAGTAAAGATATATAGAGGAGAAGGTTTAGTAAAGATAAAGAAGAGAAGATTTAATAAAGATAAAGATCGAGAAGGTTTAATAAAGATAAATAAGAGACGTTTTAGTAAAGATAAAGAAGAATCGGTTCAGTAAAGATATACAGAGGAGAAGGTTTAGTTAACATAAAAAGAAGAAGGTTTAGTAAAGATAAAAAGAGAAGACCTAGTAAAGATATAAAGAAAAGAAGGTTTTGTAAAAATAAAAAGAAGAAGGTTTAGTAAAGATATACAGAGGAGAAGGTTTAGTAAAGATAAAGAGGAGAACGTTTTGTAAATATACAGGGTGAGTCAAAACAAAAGTGTGATTTGAGGCGCCTGGTGCAAAATTGTACCTTTTTTTTAGTAAAAACTCTCCTGTATGGTGTTTTTTCAATATTTTTTGAAAATTTGTAAATTTTTTTTGATACTCCAATGGCCACAAAAAAATCCGCGAACCTTTTTTCTCTCAAAATCAAATGTTCAGAAAAGCAAAAATGTGTATATAAATGATTTCTATCGAAATCTAAAATTTTATAAAGATTGAATAAAAGAATCACAGAAAATTCGCAAAATTGTAATAAGAAAATTCGCAATTTTTAGTTCTGGTCTAATTCTTAAGGAAAAGTTATATAAATTCTCTAGTTCCTTTCTTCTTAGTATATTTTAAAGTATCAAATATACGCTGTTCAGTTGAAACCTTAAAAACCATTGAAAAAAAATTTTCCGTCAAAATTATACCAGAACTGAAAAATGCGAATTTTCTTATTACAATTTTGCAAATTTTCTGAGATTCTGTGATTCAATCTTTTTAAAATTTTAGATTTCAATAGAAACAATTTATTTACACATTTTTGTTTTTCTGAACTTTTGATTTTGAGAGAAAAAAAGGT